GTTGACCTGTATGTAATTCTGACACATTTTTCCACTTGACTTAGAAATTAAAAAAAAACTAATTTGACAATTAGAAAACTGCACATTAAAATGAAAGCAGTGAATCATTTTGTATGTGACCTACATCAGACCTATGGCTGCATATTTTTTCCTTAAATATTTTTGTCATATGCATATAAACAGGAAATGAAGAAAAAAGCGCTTTTCTATATTATTCTACATTGTTCTCTGTCTTGTTTTGAATTAACAATACATCAAGAAAAGACTTAAAAATAATCAGAAAACCAAGACTTAAAACACAGATCAGCCCAACTATCTTTTCTCTCTTTCTTACATTTACTCAATCTGTTAAAATTTTCTTTATCCTTATTTGAAACTCTGACTTGTTGGGAAATGTAAGAAGTAAATTGCAGTTATAAGATTCACTGCTTTTATTAAAAATTGGGAAAAATGTAATAAATTATAATATATAATACTTTAAAATGAAGGTAACTTAAAACAAAAACTTTACTTTTAATTTAATTCAGAATTTTGTTTTTGAAATATGTTTATAGATGCTATATTTATAATTGTCTGTCAAAACTTAGACACAACTAGGATGTCTTCAGTAGGTGAATGGATAAAGAAACCATGGTACATCCAGACAATGGAATGTTATTCAGCACTAAAAAGAAAGAATCTGTCAAGCCATGAAAAGACATGGAGGAAACTGAAATGCATATTAATAAGTGAAGGAAGACAAGCTGAACAGGCTATATACTATACTATTCTAATAATAAGACATTATATAACTGTAAGACATTTTAATTACTATACTATTCCAATTATACAGCATTCTGGAAAAGACAGAAAGACAATGAAAAGATTATTGGTTGCCAGGGGTTGGCAGGAAGGGGTGGTGTATAGGAGTAGCACAGCGGACTTTTAGAGCAGTGAGACAACTGTACGATACCATAGTAGTGGATACATCTGTCTAAACTCATAGAATGTACCACCTCCACAGTAAATCCTAATGTAAACTATGGACTGAGGGTAATAATAATGTGTCAAAAGACGTTTATCAATTCCAACAAATGTATTACTCTGCCTTGGGGTGTTGCCAGTGGGGGCTATTGGGCATGAGTGGGTATAGAAAATGTGTGGGAACTTGTTGTGCTTTCTGTTCAGTTTTGCTGTTAACATAAAACTCCCCTAAAATAAAGTCTATTTAAAGCAAAACAACATCAACAACAACAAAAAGAAAAAAAACACACATTTATTTTGCAAGATGTGTGCAAAACATAATATAGGTCTCTATCTTTATTATACTAGTTTAAAAAAATTTATTGTTTTTTAGTTGACAAAATAATTGTATACATTTATGGGATTCAGTGTGATATTTCAATACATGTATATATTGTGTAATAATCAAATCAGGGTATTGTGAATATTAAGTACTTCATATATTTATCATTTATTTGTGGTGAGAATATATAAAATCCTGTCCTCTAGCTGTTTTGAAATATACAACAGTGTTTCCCTAATGTGCACTAGAAAACAAAAACTTATTTCTTCTCTCTACTTGTAATTTTGTACCCATTGACAAATCTTTCCCCTACCTCCTACCCTTCTCCCCTCCCCACCCTCTGCTAACCACTATTCTACTCTCTATTTTTATAAGATCTTCTGTTTTAGATTCCACAGTATGAGTGAGATCATGTGGTAGTCTTTCTGTGCCTGGCTTATTTGCTTTAACATCATGTCCTCCGGGTTCCTCCACATTGTTGCAAATGGTGGTATTTCATTCGTTTTATAGCTGAATAGTATTCTCCTGTATATGTATCACATTTTCATCATGCATTCATCCATGGGTGGGCAAGTAGTTTGATTTCATATCTTGGCCATTGTGAATAACGTGGCAGTGAACATGGGTGCAAATCTCTCTTTGACACAACTTCATTTTCTTTGAATATATAACAATAATAACATTGGTAAATGTTTTTCCAGTTTTAAACTGTGCTATTTTAGTGTCTGAAAATAGCTACTTTTTATAACTTGTACAGTGGCAGGAGTGTATGGGAGAACCCTTTTAACTTCTCAGTGCATGAAGCAGAAGACTCTGTTCTTCATTGAAAGAAATAGCTCAGTCCTACCACTGTTTTAAGATTTTAATGTAAAATAGCTTTCACCTTCCAGGAAAGTTTGCAAGAATAGTGCATAGAACTCCTGCATACCCTTCTGTTAGAGTGTTTATTCACATTTCACCAGCTATCCCAGAAACAGCCTGTGGAGGAAAGATGCCAATTATACCTCATACCTGGGCATCTTGCGTCTCCAGCCACTTTCCATTTCAGTCAGTCCCTTAATTTTTCTTTGATTTTTAAGGACTTTAATATTTTTGAAGATTACTGCTGAAGGAGTTAAGGACAAAACACCCCCAATTGCCCTAACCTAGCATATGGATTATTTCAAGTTGAAAGCACTTGAGAAGTGTCAGTATCAGAGAGACTTATCTGAGCTACCCTTTCTTACCTGCAGCAAGCCATTAGAATTCCTGTGAGAAAGCCGGTTTCCCATATCAACACAAGCACACAATCTGTATTAACAGTGACTGAGGAGTGATGCTGCAATGGATCCTTTTTTTTTTTTTTTTTTTTTTTTTTTTTTTTTGAGACAGAGTCTCATCTCACTCTATAGCCAGGCTGGAGTGCAGTGGCAAGATCTCAGGTCACTGCGACCTCTGACTCCCTAGTTCTGGCTATTCTTCTGCCTTGGTCTCCCAAGTAACTGAGATTACAAGCGTGTGCCCCCATGCCCAGCTAATTTTTGTATTTTTAGTAGAGACAGGGTTGGCCAGGATGTTGGCCACCATGACCATCACCATGTTGGCCAAGATGGTCTCGATCTCCTGACCTCGTGATTCACCTACCTCAGCCTCACAAAGTGCTGGACTTACAGGAGTGGGCCACCACACCCGGAAGGCAAAGGATCTTAATAAATAAATGAAAGTACAAAATAGACGTATCTTCTACTTGGCTTGATACCCTTCTGTATATCTTTTAGTTACACAACCTAGAATTCACAACCATTAGTCCAAACCCCCCTGTTTTGTCATTTCTTCACAAAATTTATCATTCTTTGTTTAAAAAGAACAAAAGCTTTCTGCTTTGGCTATTACTTCAGATCTTTCTTCTCTCATGAGGATCTCCATGTAAGATTAAGAAAATTGTATGCTTTTTTTCTTGTTAATCTGGTCTGTGTCAATTTGATTCCTAGACCCAGCCAAAGATCCCACTGAAAAACCTCAATGGCTGGCTGAGATATTCAGGCACCTCGACATAGTCCAGTCATTTTGTAAAACATCCCTCAATTTGGATTTGTTTAATATTTCCTCATGATCATGAAAAGGGAAATTAAATAGTAACAATGATAGTCTGTAATTGCTGCATAATAAAATAAAGTTCACTGTGTTGTGTTCAATATAAAAGCTAACCCCCAGCTCTGCTTAAAGTTAACTAACTTCCTGTAAAACCTATCTTATCTATTCTCCACACATTCTCAGCAATGTTCCTAGGCATCTCAAGACTCCTGTTTTTCTTGCTGACCAGCTGCAAGGTCACAGGGAAAGAGAACAGGTAAAGAATGTACAATGCATTTCCCAAAATGCTATTTTTCAAATGTAGTGTACATCACAAAACATGTTACAAATTAATTAACTGTTCTTTATTCTGGCTTCATAAACCTGTTAGCTGCTACTTCATCTTGGATGTATAAAAAGTACCCCATTTTCTTTCTCCTTCGTTCAGCCTTGGGATGCTAATCCGCTGAGCCAGTGGCCACCTTAATACAGTCCTCCTGTTTCACCCATTGGTCTCTCCAGTCTCCTGGATATTCTGCAACAATTATGTCCAGGGAATGCATATCAGATATGCTATGTACTTTCCCTTGCAATCCATGGGGTGGCACCTGATATTTCTCCATTCCACAACTGATGGTAATAACTATGTCCACTTTATAAAGACGATACATCAAGTTTTTTTCCTTTGTTATAAATTTTCTTTTTTATCCTGTTGTATTTAATAAATGTTTTGGAGGGAGATATCTTGAAACCATTTAAAATCCTCCCCTTGCTTATCCCTTCCACCCACTCATTTTAGCACACCTTAATATTCCTGGAATTAATACTATATTGACTGCCAAACAGTGATGTTCAAATGTACCAAGTCCTGTATATATAATTTAAAAATGGGGACTCAATGCCAAACAAGTAAATCACAGATAAACAGTTACCCTTGTACTGGTCAAAGTTATATCTGAATGACAGGCAGTGAGCCTCAAAATGAAAATTATGAGCAAACTGTTTGTAAAAACATTCAAAAAAATTATAAATACCAGTGGTAAGATTACATCTAACATAGCTTTGCTGAAATTCACATCTGCCCCAAATTATGATTTATTAATAAGTAAATGCCTTTAAAGAATTGAGAGGTCATAACAAGTAATTTGAGACTGAAATAATCTTAGATTTAAGTCAAATTGATATGAATAAAAATAAAATTATACCAACTTAAATATGTTGCAAAACTACTGAAGGAAAAGTATTGTGGAAATATATACTGAAGTATAGTAGTATACTTCAGTTCACCTGGAAAGTCTGGAATTAATGGTCAAAGTAACCCTCCTAACTGAATCTTAACTTCAAAATACTCATATTGAATATAAACATTTCTGTTTATCTGCTTCACCATGGTCTTCAAACATGGCCATATAAAGGCATTGCAATGATCTTTTCAGTGTAAGACAACATTATGAATGTTAATCTGTACCTATTAACACTGTAACTGAACTTAAAATTTCATAGGTGACACAATTTCTTTACTCAAAGTAAAGTATCTTTCAGTTTTACCAGCAAATACATTTATGATCTATATATTTTTATATTCAACTAGATAAAACATTTAGCCATAATCAAATATTACTTTAAATTTTCTTTTAGGAAGGTTGAAAAATATTTATCTTTCTTAATACTTTTCTTCCTGCTTTCTATTTCTCACATTGATCCATTCTTTTTTTTAAATAATTACATTCATCCAGCAATTCCTCATTCTCTTGTGTAGAAGACTCTGCTTTTCACTCTCAGCTCGAATATTACTGGCAAGAGCCTGAAACTGGTCATGGAGAGTACTGATTGTCTTTTCTAGTCTGTTCACTTTCTTGTGAGCATCATCCAGTTGCTGTCGAAGCAACGTATTTTTATTTTCTAATTAAAATAGTTTCTCTTCTACAGATTCCTGCTTTGCAATGTATTTCTTCAGGTTTCTTTGTTGAGTTTGGTGCATTTGTTCAATTTCTTTCTTCTGACACTGTGTTTGGCTGAGGTCTCTTTGCACACATTCCAAAATCAAATTCTGTTCTCCAACAGCATCTGTTGGATTATGGAGCTGAATTTGTAGGCTGATGATTTCATTTTCAGCATTAGAAAGTTTTTCAGAAAGAATCTCATTCCTAGCTTGTAGGTCAGACATATCAGCCTTCATTTTGTCCATCCTCAATTCCTTAATGGGTTTTCTCAGAGTCCGTTTAAGTCCTTGCGTCATTCCAGCCTTTTCTCTACATTCCTCTTCTTTTATTCTTAACTGTTCACTAACTTTATTACACAACATTTTGGCATTTTCTTTCTTCTCTTTTTCTTGTTTTAAGGTAAGTCTCAACCTGTGCAGCTCTCGTTCCCATTCAATCTTCTGATGCTCTAACTGTAATTTTGTCTCTTTTGTTTCAGAGAGCTCCTTTTGTAGTACACTAACCATATTTCCCATTTGTTTAATTTCTGCTATAAGTCGTTCACAGTCATTAGTCTTAAGTTCCAGTAAGTGTTCATATAAATGAAATGCATCCTCGATTCTTGATAGGCTAACAGACTCTTTACACTCCATTTTAAGTTGTTCAATCTGCAACAAAATATTCTCATAAGTAGAGTGAGACAACTTGCATTCTGAGTCTGTTTCAGATGGTTGCATTGAGTCAGCAAAGTCAGCCCCAGAATGTATTTGGTTTTTGACCTGGTTCTTTCCAGTAGATGTTTTATTTTCAGCCCTGTCATGCACTCCATTCTCTTTCCTAGGAAACTGCTGATTAAGTCCATCGTCTTCACTGCCAGCAGCAGCACCATCAGGTAGGCTTTCGGATAATTTCCTGTTATTACTTGTGTGCTGCTTCATTTCTTCTTCGACCTGTGGCTGCTTATTTTCAAGTCCTTTAAGTCTTTCTTTCTCTTCCTCCGATGGCAGCTCCAAGTCTTGTTCTTCTTTGCTCTCTTCGCTTTCTGACAGCTGTGATTGTAACACGTCATGGAGAGTATTATTCCCTGAGAGAAATACAACTACAGTCTTCATCTTTTCTTGTTCTGGATTATTATTTTGAGGAAGACTTTCGGGTGTCTGTTTTTCCTTATATTCAGAAAGTAGTTGCTGAATGCCAGTAAACTGATTAAAAATTGCATAATCTTCCGCAGTCCTCCCAAACGTATCTTGAGAAAAGATGTCAATATTTTGCTGCAGAAGAAGGCTAACTATGTTCGCTGATCCACACTGCACGGCGAGAAGGAGGGCTGTTCTTTGACACTTATCAACTGCAAGTCAATTCGCTGCTCTCTCCAGTAAAAATTCTACCATTTGCTGTTTTTTTCCGCTTATGGCAAATAGAAGTGGCGTGAGGTCATTCTCATTTTTTGCCTCCATATTTGTACTGTATAAAAGCAGTTTTTCTGCTAGTGATTTCATTATGCACAGCACAGTGTAGAGCGGTATTGCCGTAGGTATCTGGAAGGTCTGGATCAGCACCCTGTTCCAGCAAAATAGTTGCGCATTCCTCTTCTCCGCATTGTACGGCCTTTATCAGAGCTGTCCTCTTTTCGCTGTCAAAACAATTAAGTTGACATTTTCTGTCCACCAGGAGAGCTACCACTGCTGGATGTTCACTGGCACACGACAAATACAGAACCGTCCTATTTTTATTGTCCCTCTTGTCCACTACAGGGCCTCCGGGCCCCAGGACGCGCTCCAGCCTGGGGACGTCGCCCCGCCAGGCAGCTCTGTGGAGCTCATGGAGATCTTCCAGGTAGACGCGGTACTGAGGCGGAGGGAGGACGTGGTACTGAGGCGGTGTGAAGGCGTCCTCTTCATGCTTGCTTCTGCTGCCCGAGCTGTAGCGCCGCCAGCTGGTGAGGGCCATTGGTCCTCCGGGCGCCCTCCTCTAAATGTCCTCCTCATGGCGGAGACTGACCCCCTCAGGCCCTCCCCGCACCTCCCTGGTTTTCTCCACCCCAGGAGGCCAACAGTAGCGAGTTAGCCTTGGCCACAACCTCCCAGGAGGAAAGTCCGAGGTTTCCAATCAGTGAAAGGAGCACAGCCGAGCCAAGTAAAAAATGTCAAGCCAAGTGACCACCGCCAAGGCCAGCGACCACCGCCAAGCCAAGCGACCACCACGAAGCCTCACGGGTAACCAACGCCAAGGCACTCCAGGCGACCACCGCCAAGCCTCATGGGTAAGGCTGTTAGCTGGCATCCCACTGTGTGGAAGAATTTGTCATTATCATATAACTTATTTATTCACTCACTTAGATGAATGGACTTCTGGACTCTCATGTTATTTAATGAGTTATAGTTTGTTACTATCATTACTTATTTTGATGATCAAATTACCCCATATTTGGCTGCTGGAAACTCATTAGTGTTTGTTTTTCAGCCTTCAAAAAACTACCCACATTCTTTGCCCAGTTCCTAATTATCTGGCACTCAAGATGTTTCATATTCTCTTGTACTGGCACTTCTCCCATCCTAGAATCTGCCATTTCTCCATAGAGCCCTGGTTCCCTTCACTGGGGAACAGTGTTTGATACAGAAAGAGATGCACAGGGCAAGGTTGTGTGGAACGAGCATGAGATGCCTCCCTTCAGGAACCTCCACATTTTCACCCATCAGGAAACTCTCAGGTACATTATAATCTTTATGAGAAGGAATGCTATCCAGCACAACATTATTTAATCAAAGGAAAAGATCATTTGGAAACAAATGCTCAAAGGATTGTCTCCCCACCAGAATGTAAACACCACATAGGCAGGGACTTTGTACTTTGTATTCACTTCTGAATTCCCCCCCCCCAACAAACGGACACAAATATGCGGAATAAATAACTTGCCACAAAACATAAATGTCACAAGATTTGGTTGAGGTAAGTCTCATTAAGGATTAGAGTACTCAAGAAAACTATCAATTTTCATGTTTGTCCTAGTTCTGTATATATTTTTTTAAATGTGAGCAGCATTTGGGTAGGTAAACTTCAGAAAGGAATTTCAGAAAATAGAAACAATAGAAAGAAGGACAGAGAAACATAAAGTGAACCTTATGTTATTGTTGGGTGGTGGTGCAACTAGACTGGGTTGAGAAGGCAATTAGTGCTACCTTGAGGTGTGTTTTTGTGTGTGTCTGTGTGTATATAGGGAAGGAATAGAGGGATTATGCCAGGAATGGATAGTAATGGCTTGAGAGTCAGTTTGAAAAGTTAGGAAATAGAAAAATTATATATATATATATATATGTTCAGGATAATTGTATTTCCTGTATTTTCATATTATAATTTTATTTCAGGATAATTTAAAACCAAATATATCTGTGAACACAAGATGAATAGTGATGCCCCAAATCAGGAGTTAAGCAGATTATAACCCATGGGGCATTTTCATCAGCCACCTGTTCTTGCAAATAAAGTTTTATTAGAACACACCCACATTAGTTTATATTATCTATGGCCACAGTGGCAGAGTTGAATAGTTGTGACAGAGAACATCTGGCCCATACAGCCTGAAATATTTAACATCTGGATCTTTACAAACTGTTTGCCAACTCTTGCTCTAGATAAAAACAGAAAACAGGGTGCTTGCTGGATGGGTTGTATTTCTACAGAACTATATGTGTCATATTTCACAGAGAACAGGGCAAATGACTCTTTCTGAATTTGGAGAAAGTAGGAGTACAGGGTGTGAATTAAAGTCTCAGAGTCAGAGTCACAACTTTAATCGTTAAGTCTCAGATTCCAGGACATGGAAGACAATACCATCAATTTATGTGGAAAGAGTAGTTTGAGTGGACTGCAGACTCAGGTTACATTGTGATTTAGCAACCAGTGCAAGAATGTCAAGAAGCCAGAGTGTCTCACCTGTTTAGTGCAATGATAGATGCTCCCTGCTGCTACAGATAGCTCTTTAGGTAAATCAATCTGTGTCTTTCTGTCACACACACACACACACACACACACACACACACACACACAGACACACAGTAGCAGCAGCATTTCAAAAAAGCTCAAACAAGGCTGATAAATTAAGAAAAAAAAAAAGTTAGGTGATTTGATGCTCAGTTGCTTCGGCCCGTAATTTCTTTGTAATTCAGGACAGCTGTTCTTTTAGTAAGTAGTATTGGAATATTCAATTTTATTTTGAAGGCAAAATATATTTTCATTTTCTGTTTTTCAGCCCAACAGGGTTACAGTAGAAATCTGAAGGAACAAATGGGCAAATTAAGTTCATGCCCTTGCTCTCAAGTGGTGCTCAGTATATGTGTTTGCTATAGATTATGAGACTGGCTATAAAAATATGAGAATAAAAACACAAAATATTACATTTGATCTAATTAGCCATATTTTCAAAACTAATCTGTGAGTTTTCACTATGTCTTTCTTCAAAAAATTCCATGATATATAGATCAGGGTGTTTAGAACCAAACAGGTTTAAGATTAAATTTGATGTTTGCAATTTGTTCAAACTCAGTAGGCCTTAGAAACCTAATCTATAAAATGAGATAAAATGCCTGTGAGGCAGTATTTCAGTGAGTAATAATTAAGGAAAAGTATGGAAAGTGTTGGACACAGTGACATACACAGAATAAATGCTTGATAAATAGAGGTTACTATACTTTGTTGCTTTTATGACATACTAGGTTTAATTTCTCCAATGGCATAGTTGCATTACTATAATCCAAACTGTTACTTCAAACAATAGATTTTTAACTGGTCTCCCTGTCCCAAATGATACCCTTCTCCAAATCCTCTTCATGCTGCTATCTATTAGGATATGTTTCTACCTGCACCCTATTCAGATGAAATAAATGAGAAGACAGAAATCCAGAGCTGGTTCAGGTTTCACATGGATTGACTTGGAAGTCTGACTTCATAATTTAAAAACCAAGTTATTTCCATCTTTCTGTTCTTCCCAAATTGTCAACATCTCAATCAACACAACTTTTCTCCAAGGTTCTACTGCCAGTAACAACCTGAGCCTTGCTTACATTTGGCAAGAAAAAGAGGAACAGTGCTTTTATACAATTGGCTGCTATATGACAGATCCACTTTCTTGGGATTATTTATGCTGAGACCAGAAAGTTTCACCCTTGAGGTTGAGAGTGTAGTCTCTCTTTAGACACTTGAGCTGCATCTTATGTGTTAGAATGAGGGAAAAAAAGGTAACTATATATTAGCTAATATTCACAATAAAACATTTCATACAACATTACTTCAGGATCTCTCTTAGATCTGTTTAGGGGAAGTGGCAAATGGGTTTCCTACCTAGGTCCCACTATTTGGAGTGAATCCTCCTGTGTCTAGAATGATACAAGGCAGTAGCACCATATGGATGAAGCATTTTGAGCCTAGACATGAATCTACATATGCCTTGGTCTCCATCTCCTGCTTTGGGACATTCTAGGACCCTCTACCCTACATGAAAGTCAATTAGATGCTCCAAAGATCTTTGGGACTCTTGCCTAGGAGGACGTCCTGAGGAAAATCTCAGTTTGGATCAATCCTCATAGCTTGGATGGTATTCTTTGGTGGAGTCATGAAAGGTTGAGTCACCAACATGTTGCTAGTATATTTATTAGGGTGGTCATCACTCATAGCTTACACAGAACAATTTCAGGGCTCTGAGCCCCGATATAAATAGTCTTCTTTCACCCTTGGGCGTGAGTCACATGTGTGGTCGTTGCTTTGGCTCTTGCCCTCTCTTTGCCGATGGTGTGGAACACTTTTAGTCTACAGCACTTAAGGATAAACAGGCCCCTTCTCTTGTGAAGCTTCTATTGCTCGAGCTTATAGTATTCACTCTGTGTATTCTGCAGATTCTGTGTCATGTGGTTTACAACCCACCCAGGAATGAACATATATATATCTTCCAAAAGGGCTTTTAAAATTGTTGCTCTGCCACATCAAAAGGTCCTTCCAATTGATATCCTCAATTATCTCCAATTGTGATATTGTGCTCTCATGAGCCAGTCTTAAACCATACCCAAAGAGGGACTGGCATTCCTTGTGCAAATTGGACTCCTCTTCATGCTTCACCTGCAGGCTGTTTGCTTATCCTCCTCACCAAAGGAAGTCAGGGGTGCTATTGGTGTTGAAGAAAGATTACATTGCCACAGTTCAATGATTAAAGTCTAAAGTGATCAAGAGAAGATGTGGCTGGGTAATGTGCTGTTCTACATTTATACTATACAATTCTAAATGGTAAATTTAGTATAACCAAAAAGGAAATTATCATTCAAAATTTCCTGGATACTATGGGCAGTATTTATATTTGTGGTCATCATCAATAAATCATAGTGCTAGTCTTGAGAAAATCATTAAATGCCAGCATTCATGGGTGACACATTAGACGGTGCAGTACCATGCATGTATTAGTATTATAGTGCTACTATAACAAATTATCACAAAGTAGGTGGCTTGTATCAACAGAAATTTATTATCTCATAATTCTGGAGGCCAGAAGTTTGAAATTAAAGTGTCAGTCAGGTTGGGATACTTCTGGAGACTTGAAGGGAGAATGAGTGCCATTCCTCTCTCTAGCTTCTGGTGGTCACTGGCAATCCTTGGTGTCACTTGAATTGTAGATGCATCACGACAATCTCTGCCTCCTACTTGACATGTCATACTTCTCTTCTGTGTCTGTGTTCAACTTTCCCTATTCTCACAAGGACATGAGTCGTTGCATTAGGGCTCAATCTAATCCAATGTGATCTCATCTTAGGTTGATTATATTTTCAAAGAGGATTTACAAATAAGGTCTCAAATAAGGCCCAATAAGGCCTATCTGGAGTAGCAGCTGCCATCATGCCACTGCAGCAGGGAGGTGTGGCTGGGGCTGCACACTTCATGGAGTCAGTGGGAGCCGAGGACAAGTAGGA